ATGTAGTTTCTTGCTCGTTCTTCTCCTTTCGAATCTACATTTTGGAATGAGCAACTAGCTTTACCTAGCTTCACTGACGAACTATTATTTATTTTGTACTAGCTTTTACCCGCGGCTTCACTCGCGTCACAAAAGGATAAAAAGTAGCCTATGTGATATATACCAATACATACAGCACCATCTATACCAATACTTTTGTTTTTCCTCGGGAATATCAAATCTTTCCGGGATAAAAAGTACCCTATTATTTAATCCAGACTTCTAACTTTACATCTGCAGAAAATCAAAGCAATCGGTCTAGTAGTTACGGCGTGAAAGTAGAACAAACAAACAAAGAAACTCACTTTCCAATTTATAATAATTATTATAGTAAGGATTTGTTGACGTTTTAAAAGTACCAAATTATGGTTTAATTGAAATAAATGCTTTCACTTTGACTTTGACTTTGTACCACGTGTCGCAATTGTGGCAAACGTTTGACGTAATATCACAGCTTTACCGTAGTCTACGACAAGGTAATGTATCCAAAATGTATTACATAGTGTAGTACGTCACAGGGTGCCGTACCACATGTTGGAGTACACATTCGTCATGGCGTAGCATATGTCGTAGCAGTGGCATATCACATGGCGTAGCAGAGGCGTAGCATACATAGCAGCAGAGGCGTAGCATAATGGCGTACCGAATGTCGTAGCAGTGGCGTAGCACATGTAGCAGTGTATTAGCACGTGTCGTAGCAGTGGCGCAATAAATGAAGTACTTCGTAATAATGGCGTAACACATACGGACGTACATCGTAGTAGTCGTGTAGCACATGCCACGCAGTAGTAATGGCCTAGCATATACAGTTCTTTATATATATAACAGTTATCTAATATATTGTATATAGTTTTTTTATTCTAAATTATATAATGATATAGTTTATGTAAAAATAAATATGTGTGTTGTACAGCATCGTATTTGTATTGTAGTACTGTTCAGTGACGGACACGTTGGCACGGGGACACGTCATCCATCATACCTCGCGCGCCTTACTCCTCATTACATGTAATGTGGCCGAGTGCTGAGCATTCCCCGAGGGATTATGCGGCGTAATTAAAAATTGTATTGTTTGGCCACACGCTACACGGACCACTTCAGAAGGAGTACTTGGATACACTTGTTGTAACGCGGAGTCAGTTGATGATCATTGATCAATATTATGTATAATGAAGCACACGTGCTTATGGTCACATAAATCTACTATTTGTTTTGGTGAATAAGTTTGTCTCACCGGTTGTGATTATATTAGTCAGTATCTTTTGTCCTTAGTGTGGCTTCGGTAGGAGTACTGTTCAGTGTTTCTCCGCCTGTGAGGCAACGGCGAGCGAGGGGTGTGTGTGCGGAGTGGGCGGGGAGGGGAGGAGGGGGCTGTAAGTCAGGGCGCCATGTATTATTCATGCACGAGCCGCATGCTCGTGCACTCTCTGTCCACATCTACATAAATGAATCACTCTTAACGCCTGCTAATTGCGACACACTGAGGTTTCACGAGTGCCGGAATTAAGTGCGCCTTCATCTTCGGATTAACGGATGAAATGTATTTCATCTTCTCTTGAAGTAGTTTTATGTTGTTATTAATACAAAACTTACTTTGCATGATTGAATGACACAACCATAACACTGTCATCACGTTGGAGCTTCATCTCAGACAAAAGCCGAAAAATAAACAGTAGCAACTATATTATTTGTTCTGTAATTTCCCCAGACGTATGGAAGATCTACAGTTATCAAATATATGCAAACACTGTCGATACACATTGTGCGACGAGTACAATATTCCCGGCAGTAGGTGAGTAGCTACTGGCAAACAAACAGTACAATACAGCCACAGCCGGGCGAGTGCCGGTCCGGGCCGGGTTCGGCTCAATCGTATAATCCCGCCGTAACACCGGCCTCTAGTATTTAGCGAGCTTCCCAAAAAATAACTTCCTTCAAAGCTGAACCGCGCCGACCTCGTAATAAATACTTATTACCAAAAACCACTTAATGGCCTGAGGGTATTTTCCTTTCCTATCTCTGCATTTGTATCGGCGCTACATTGTTGCTCATGACTGCACTTATTTAATATCTAATGATTTTATGTGATAGGGCGGAAAACAAGCAGACGGATAACCTGATGGTAAAACGCCCTTTGCCGGCCTTTTGGGGGCTACAATTAAAAAAATGGGGGTTTGGAGGTGAAGTTGCAGAGGATTAGGCCTCCAGTGACAGTAACTCCCATGGCGAAACACATCGCAAGCGTTTGTGTTAGGTCGTGGAGGAGTGTATCACTTTGGAAGAGTCGGCCCATTTGAACCGAAAATCTTTTTGAGACTGACCAAAGAATAGTTGATAGGTTTGATTATCCAACTTTATTAGATACGTAGGAAACAAACAACAACAACTATTCAAGAAATACAACGTACGACTCATCACAACCACATGTTACATGAGATAGAAATGACAATCGGCGTTCAATCAAAATACATGATTACAAATCGATTTATGAAATATGTTCGCATCTCCCTGAGAGTGAGCGCTCCGCTGTGCGATTGATCCTGCGCCCCCTAACAACATAATTGATTCCGCTTCAGGTCGGCTTGCTCCAGATTGTGCCGGATCGAACCGGTTCGGAGCGCGGCTCGCAATTAAATCGGAAACGAGACCCACCACTAGACATCGCTCCCCTCTTTAAGGCGATCGCGACATATTACCAAGTTACAGTAAATAGTAAAATAAAAGTATATTGTGCTCTGTCTGGCCTTCAGGCAAACATTATGCGCAATAACAGGCAAAATTGCTAGCAATCGAAATTTCATAAGATGCTTAACACTTTACGGTATAATAAAAAGTAAACGAACTAAAACCCAACTACGACAAAAACGACGCTGAAAAAGTATAAAACAAGATTTTCAGAATACTGAAGTGAACAAAGTTGCTAATGTAGTCGCAAGTAAATGGACACAGTGGACTCTAGCGAGATGCCTTCGTTGTAAGTTGACAATAATGTCATACAATACTATTCTGAAGTATGCAGTATTCACCACAGGCACACGTTGTCTGAGTGCTGCGGTAGGTCAAAGTGCTTTTGCTTTGCCGTAGTCGGGTAAAAAACATTTTAAACACCATCGTGCTTGAAATATGTTCTATTTCCATCTCCACATATAAAATATATAAATATGGTATACATAGTTACTTTGACAAATTATGTATGGATACAATGTGTTTCGGAAGTATGTAGAGATGAGGCGCGTTGTACAGGGTGGCGCGTTGTATTGTATGCCATCAAGGAATATTAGCGATATGTTTGGTGCTCGCGTCGGGAACGATGTGCTCACATTATGATGCGCTAAACTCGGAGATTTACAACGCTTATAAAGCTGTCGGAACACGTTCGTAATAGAGTGATGGGCGTGCGCATGTTTATACCTGAAATAGACTTTTATTGAAGCGAGCCTCGTATTCAGAGTGCCGAGTACTCTGGCAGCTTATTATATGAGCGTTTCGCGCACTGGCTTATTACAGATTACTGCAAAATATTTTTATACATGAAGATGTTTATAGAATGCTCCGACTCCGACATTATGATCTAGAAGCGTATGTTGTAGTTTATTGGCGCTACTCCACATCGGCCGTCAAGTAATAAGATACTTCATTACAGTTATTAGGTAGTGACGTACATAGCCCGCGCATGTCGGCGGCGCGGCGGCGCGCGTGTCTCCTGTCCGCCGCTGCCACGCTCCTCCAGCGCGGCGCGGCGCGCCCCCGCGCTGGTGGCGCGGCTATTTCCAGCACAGAGCACGGCATTCTTACACAAACAACACATTTTTACACAAACAACACATTTTACAGGAATTCTATTTGTGAGCTCGTAAAGTTGTGTTGATGTGTTTCTCCGTGAGTCGGGAGCACCACTCGCGCCACCTGTCTCTGTGTACCACTCTCTTACTAATATTCCTCCTCCCACACTGTGGCTATTTATCATTTCGGTTTCTATTCGGGACCAGTAAAAGACATGATCGTGTGAGTGCAGTGGCCGTGCTCCCTGCGACAATGTACACGTGTACTGAGACTACGTACCTTGGTACCACAGCGGCAGTAGGTGGCGTCGCCTGCTCTATAAACTATTCAGAGTTCAGTTAACTACTCCGCAAGTTGCCAGATATAATGACCAAACTTGTAGTTGAAATGCACGAACTTGGTGGAACGACTCATTTACTGGAGCAGCCGCTAACGTGCGGCCACTGTCGCTCGCGCACGATGTGAGCACCCGCGGGCCGGCCAACTAATCCCGCGATGTATGCTTACATTCACCTGCACGAGTTATCTGTGTATCTTTGTTTTTAATATAAATAGGGGATTGACACGAGTGCCAGCAAGTACGTACCGAGGTATGTCATAAACAAGATTAAATCATGAATGAAGAGAGGGCTACGAGATATTTTACACCTTTCTAAGTACCTACTGTATGTTACACTGGGGTTACACCCACAAACTGTTTTAATGAGTTTTAATGAAACCTTCCCATGAGACAGAGGTCACGCGCCACACCGCGTGTAGCGAGGAGGCAATGGACAGTGTCTGTGCATAGTGATCCTCAATGCCTGTGTTAGTGTGAGTCATCCGACGCCGGCCACAGAACTCTCACGGAGCACGACGTGTACGACTGCAGGCGACTGATGTGACTTATGGCGACTGAATGTTCTGTTTTGGTTACTCGTCAAGGACGCATTGACTAGCGTGAAGTACCTAGCGTGTTGCTTAACAAGCAATGTTTTAGTTCAGAGCTATCGCTGTTGCTAATCTTGTCAACGCGGATAAGTTTACCACAGTTGCAGGTCCACATATTTCATTTTTATATATCGAGTCTAGAAATCGTTGAGTTTCAGATGTAAGCTGCGGTATTCAAGGCGCTTGACTTCATTTAATTACCAAATAGACAACTTTCCAGGTAATTACCTTTCTGAAATAATAATGACATGGGGACCGGTAAACCGGCACCACGGGTCGGCGCCTGGGCCGGAGTCTGGCCGGCGCGCGGCGTCCCATGGGCGGTGTGTCACGCGCTGTTTGCACATCTCGCGACTTCGCATCCGAGACAGGCATTAAATATATACAATGATGAAACAATTTCGCTCGTGTACATAGCTAAACTTGTAATTGGACAACACACACGTAAGTCGAGCCACGCTCCCGCCCCGCCACCACTGTGCAAGTGTCCACGTGGTCCACACTCACGAGTGGACGGTCAGCAACACATTCCTAGAGGATGTAGCAGGATGAGCTTGTATCTCACTTTGTGTTTCATGAGATTCAACAGAATATTTCCATAAAGTCGAGCTTTTTATTTCCACAAATCTTGTTAGAACATTGTTCTATTATATTACATAATACTGCGGGCCGCGTACTGCGATGAAAACGTTTTGAAATCTTTAAATTCTTATCGTGTAACTTTCTTTTAACTTGATGAGGAGGATCAAGGAAAAATTACGAATTGTGAGATTTTTAGATGCAAACTGTGCGGGTCAGGAGTGGGTCACGCCGCACGCGGGCCGGGCGGGGTGAGGGCGCGAGCGTGCGTGGGGGGAGGGGGAGGACTCGGAACGCTTGTAATATTCTTAACTTTACACATTTAAACAGTTAAGTTGCTCCAAGTACAGTCGCAGCTTGTAGACATGTCGCGCCGCAGTTAGCCGGGCAGTTTGTTCAGGTACATCGTGCACACGATCACGACAAGTTGTAACTGAGCGTGGCCCCAGACGTGGCCACTGACCATGTACCACGACCACGACGTGAGACTGCATCAAACGTCGCACTCCTGTGTACACATAAACTCGTAAGTCGGTAGATACTCTCGCCTCGCCCGTTCTCGAGTCCGCGCCGCTCGCTTGACGCATAGTGTCGATAAAACTGCTCATAACAGTTTTATGCGCGTGTTCCAATAAAATGGCTTATTGAAACATTTCGCGTTGATTACAGGCGCGCCCTGACCCAGCACAGGAGCGGCGACCTGCACACTGCCGTCTTGCATCACGTCGCGGTCCTTGCCTCTAGCCTCGTATTGGAATTTTGCTCAAGATTCAAGCAGCCGCACAACTTTCATCAAATCAAATAGTTTGGTAGTAGTTTTGAATAGCGCTTGAGAGTTGGGCGCCGATGTATGGTCTCTTCTTAACATTAACAAAGATCTACTAAAGTAATTAGGTTTGAACTCAGCTCGAAGTTGTGGTACGCGTGCGGCGTCTGCTCACTCACTCGGGGGGGCCACTGGCCATCTACGAGAAACATAAACACTGTAGTTACAGGGAGCTCTCATGACACGAGGACATACTGCACGACAACTGCAGCTGCTGAGTAGTCTACTGTAGAGGCGAGATTAAATATGGAGAATACTATACATACTTTTTTTCTCATTTATAGTAATTAATAGTTGCGGTGTCAACACGACACTAGGTTACAGAGTGTGTAGTGACACGCGGTGGGCGGCGGGCGCGGCCTGCTGCTGGACATAATGTATGCGACACATCTAGAGCACACAACGACGTGTGTCTGTGTGTGTGGCGGGCTCTCGCAGGACAATGTCGGCCTCTTGAAAGGGTCGCATCTTGTCTCTCCGTACAATCACTTTCTCAACACAAAATAATGAAACATAACGGAGATGTGTCCACGGTGCAAGTATTTTATTACGCAGTCGGTACACGGCACTATCACGAGTGTCATTACATCAATGCAGTCTAGTAACGGAACTAGATGGCGGGAGCTATTTCATTCTACATAAAATATGTGGTCTATGAGCTTGCACAGTGCACAGTGCGCGGGCGCGGGCGCGGGCGTGACGCCCCGCGGGGACATATATCGCCTGCACCGCCTGCACCTCCTACTTGCGCACAGTCATAATAAGTTATCCTTTTTGTGCAGTGTTCAATGGATAACATCAATGAATGATTCCTGCTATGTAACCGTATCGTGTTATCGTCATCGCGTTGTGTCATCGGAGAAAGATGAGGCAACGCATGTTATTGATATTTAATTAATAATGATACATGTAGCAAATCTTTGAAATTACTGAACGTAACACGATAAGCGCGAATAGTTAAATCAGGCAGGGTTTCATAAATATGGGTAGGGTAGTTGTTGCTAGCCGTGCCTAGTTGCAGACATCCTGCACGGAGGGCGCTGTGATGTTCACTGATTTGGATATAAATATAAAATAAAACAAGTTAGTCAGTAGTGCACCGCTCAGAGGAACGTTCGCCCGCCACTTGCAACAGATGGGGCGTGTGTGCTGCGACGCGACACACCGTTGACCTGTGACTACACTCATTGCTTACTAACTTCTGCCTGCGGTTTCACCCGCGTCCCCAGGGCGCCTGTGTACCATTCTAAACCATAATTTACCTCTGCTCCAAATGCCATCCCGGTCCCTTCAGCCGTTTTGATGTGACTGAGTAACAGACATACACACAAACACACACACTTACATATTACATAACTTATTATTGACCAATCTAATATCAGATCACGCTAATTTCAATTATAGACCCTACAGTTACAACGTAAAGTCCACTGCAGGCAACCTAACATTCGACAAACTTATATTTGCGTTTGGTACAGTAACTGTGTCTAGGGATTGAGCCGCACAATTACCTAAGTTTATTTTTTGTGACACTGTGTTGTGCCCAGGATATTAAAGTATAATCATACCGAGTTTTATCGTAATCGGACCGGTAGTATTTGCGGGAAGCGTGAACATACAATCATAGACAGACAAAAAAAAAATATCATTTTTGGCTTCCGTGTCTATCTACTATCTAGTAACATTGTTACAGGATATTACTATTTATTGTTTTAATATTTTCAATGAACAGAATGTACACTTCACAATCTATCTGTATAGATGATATATCACAGGCACCACCAGTCCTCCACTTACGAATACTGAGCAAATACATGTCTCTGTGTATACAGGTATGTATGTTACATATATATACAGTATAGGTTACAGGTATGTCGCGGAGAACCTAACGGGTAACCGGGGCTCCGGCTCGACGTGCAGGAGAAGGAACGGGGTGGTTTTTAGTCAGTAAGAGTCTGACACTCCCTTCCGCCTCACCCGGGCGGGAGCAGTCATTCGATGATTTTCCCCCCTTAAAAAAAAAAAAAAAAAAAAAAGGTTACAGGTATAGGTGTGTGGGTTGTTCATTGAAACATATTCAACAGATACCTCTCATAATTATTATTGTACGTTTTATAGGCACATGTGTCATATGTTATTATTTATTATACTACGTTGTGAACTATCGGCACGAATATGTAACGAACGACTCCGCGATAACAATGGAGTATGAAGTTTTACGACTTGTCTTTGATAAGGCGAGCGTAATGTTTCCGCACATGGACAGCTCCCGTCGCCACCTCCGGTCCGGCCAAACACAATAACATCAAATGACCGGTTCTGACTTACACATCAAGCTTGCACTGGATATGTGATTATTCTGCTTTAGTATCACGAAACTAAATAAATAGGTTACTGGGAGCTGAACAATTTCTTACTCACTTTCTGCCACACTGCCACACTGCCACACTGCCACACTGCCACACTACCACACTGCCACACTCCCACTGCCACACAGCCACACTGCTACACTGCCACACTGCCACACTGCCACACTGCCACACTGCCACACTGCCACACTACCACACTGCCACACTGCCACACTGCCACACTGCCACACTGCCACACTGCCACACTGCCACACTGCCACACTACCACACTGCCACACTGCCACACTGCCACACTGCCACACTGCCACACTGCCACACTGCCACACTGCCACACTGCCACACTGCCACACTGCCACACTGCCACACTACCACACTGCCACACTGCCACACTGCCACACTGCCACACTGCCACACTGCCACACTGCCACACTGCCACACTGCCACACTACCACACTGCCACACTGCCACACTGCCACACTGCCACACTGCCACACTGCCACACTGCCACACTGCCACACTGCCACACTGCCACACTGCCACACTGCCACACTGCCACACTGCCACACTGCCACACTGCTACACTGCCACACTGCCACACTGCCACACTGCCACACTGCCACACTGCCACACTGCCACACTGCCACACTGCCACACTACCACACTGCCACACTGCCACACTGCCACACTGCCACACTGCCACACTGCCACACTGCCACACTGCCACACTACCACACTGCCACACTGCCACACTGCCACACTGCCACACTGCCACACTGCCACACTGCCACACTGCCACACTGCCACACTGCCACACTGCCACACTGCCACACTACCACACTGCCACACTGCCACACTGCCACACTGCCACACTGCCACACTGCCACACTGCCACACTGCCACACTGCCACACTACCACACTGCCACACTGCCACACTGCCACACTGCCACACTGCCACACTGCCACACTGCCACACTGCCACACTGCCACACTGCCACACTGCCACACTGCCACACTGCCACACTGCCACACTGCCACACTGCTACACTACCACACTGCCACACTGCCACACTGCTACACTGCCACACTGCCACACTGCCACACTGCCACACTGCCACACTGCCACACTGCCACACTACCACACTGCCACACTGCCACACCGAGTTTCGTGACGAGTGATATGACGCAATGACCCAAATAGGCACCTCAATAGTACTAGTGGACTGCTGTCTGGTTCAAAGTGATTTAAAAAAAAACAATTTTACCGAGGCCATTCAGCAGCAGTCGTCCCGATTATATCGTATCGAACTCATGATTACTGCGAATCAGTTTACCATGGTAATGTATCTCGGATTCAATTTATCTGGCTGATCTATGAGGCGCTCAGTAGCCGGCGCGCGGCAGTGCCCGACATCACATCAACTCACAATGAAGTCGTTCTCATCGCAATCCGTCTCCATGAATCACTTCACCCACGGCCGCGCCGCCGCGCCGCCGCCCGCTCTCCGAGTGACAACACCGAGCAGCAACACAGAGCACCACTCAGCCGCTGTCTGCTTGTACGTGTCTTCTGTCATAGCCTGTCCAACAGTATCGTCGGCCAGCAGCTGGCACTGCGGCCGAGTCCCGCCACGCAGGTACGAGCTCTACACAGAGCTCCGAGTGACCTCGCCTGACTCTGTACTACCGCTGTACACACTGCAAGCCTGCCTGCTGCGCACGTATTACCTACATTTATTTGTGGAACTTCTGCTCTTACCTGCGTACTGTGTTATACTTCATTAGAGAGCAGTGAGAGCAATGGTTCACTCGCTATCGGCGTACATGCCGCTAAGGCAGACATTATTCGTCGAAGGCGTCATTAATTGATTCCTGATCAATTCTGTAATTGAGGTTGCGGTGTGGGGCTGAAGTTAGTGCGAGTACAAGATAAGGATTCAATTAAGGGCCCGCAGAGCTCGACATCCGACACAATCACCACGCAGGGTGATTGTGTCGGATCCTGCCTCGTGCGGCTCGTGCCTACATACCAACTGGGGTTTAAAACGTTGCGGTCCATTTTGTGTCCACTTTAGTCCATGTTTTGTGAAGTAATTGAGTAACGAACAAACAGCACGCGCCGCACTGTTTGCCTGATACAATGTCGCTACTGTGAGCACTTGTCATTAATGGCCGGACATAAGTACCGCCTGAATACTGAATGTTAACGAAGTTGATTGGATCGAGCTGAGTATGTAGCTGTACTGTTATTCAGGTGCAAACATTGTAATATGTACACACACATACATACGTATGGACGGTGGATTATTTTTATGTTAAACTTGAACAGGCGTGTTAATGAATGTGATCGCTCGGCTAGTTATGTACGTGCATACAGACTTGCACTTGTCCAGGACCACATTGTCGACATCACGAGATGTGGTTTATTGCAAACGTCGCCTCGGCTCGCGTCCTGTGTGGTGACGTCGCCCGGAACGGATGCTCATGTAATATGTGGAAGTAGCACTTTTTTATGTTTTGGGTAAACCACTGGACCGTTGTTAATATAATTGAACAAGCAGCCGGGTGGGCCGCGCCGCCAGTTTTATCCCAAAAATCAAATACATTGGTACCTGTAAGGAGGGATAATGAGCGTGCGAAAATCGAATTTCACTATGTGTCCGCCGCCGCCGGCCATTGAGAGACGCCCTCCGCCCTCCGTGCACTCTGAGTTACATTTACCTCGTCACTCGTGTAACTGCTTCATTAAACAACTGCTTTTTAAATAAGTGTGATACATCTCATCACACTTCTCTCTTGACTAAATAACGTAATAAATTATACAGGGTGTATAAGTAGATATAAGTATATTTTATTCGGTTATAAACTCTAGTGATAGCTGCTTTAGAAAAAAATATAGTGTTAAAGAAGACGCATGATATACATGCCCTGTACTGTATGTGTGTATGTGAGTCCAGCGGGAGCGCGCCGTGTGATAGAGTTTGATTGATTGGCGGGAGCCGCCGCGCCGCGCTGCTGACTGAAGGTGATTGAGTGGCAGAACTAGTCGCCGGCATACAGGCAATATACCACCGATACGACAGGAGCTATTAATTGAATGTCAATCATCGCGAGCAGTGCGCGAGCGGGGAGCGTGCCTCCGTGTAGGTACAGGGACACGCGACACAGTTACAGCGCTCGCAAGTTCTACAGCAGACACTCGGGACGCGCGGGTCTGGCCGAAATAGGCTATTAGACATAAATAAAGAAAGAAATATCAAGCCATTAGGCATGATCCACCGAATATACAAACATCGAATTACAATAAAAACCAACAGGAACAATAATAACAAAAACAATAAAAATACATTATAAAAAAAATACAAAATGAACAACAAGGAGCAACATGAACATGCCCCCCATGTCAAAAGGGTTACCCAACTCCGTATGAGCTGGGCACGGGAAGTACTCAACACTGGTTTTCAGTTGTCACCGTTTCAGTGACGCACGGTGACATGGTCGCACGCAGTGTGCTCAGTCCATGATCTGACCACTAACTCCCGCCTAAGGCTACATCGATTGTTGTAGATTACCAGGTTAAAGCGCTCAAAGTCAAAATCAAATATTTCAATTAGACCAGGAAGGTAAGGAACTTTTGAACGTAAAAACAGAAGAATCAAATATTAAAAATATCAGTCTTTCGGTCAGTCCTCTAGTGAAGCTATTTGTTGGTTCCAAAGTGAAGAGAAGACCGAGCAAGAAATTCCATGGGTTACTCTTTTTCAATCACATCCATAATTCAATTCTTGGTTCCATTGTTTTGTTGGTTCATTGCTTATAACTGAACAGTTATGTTTTATTGATAACTTCTTACTGACTTCTATTATATTCAAAGTACCTAATAATTATTTTTAGTTGATAACTTTGAATACACCAAGTTATTTTCCATACATTCACCTACACTATACATTATACATGTAGGGAGTACATATGTATACATGTATAAATGTACCACTACCATAGCACAGAATACTAACCATAGTGAGATCATTGATCTATAAAAAGTTATATAATAAATTAAGTAAAAGTTGTATAATAGTGCAGTGTGCTGTCGGTGTGTCCGAGTCGTCCGTGTGAAGACACGTCTCGTTATAATTGTGAAATGATTCAGTGAGTGCGCACCACGAGAGACGGGAGCGGGCGGAGACTATCACTAGCTCAGAAATGTTAAAGTAATGGCAGACGTCGTTAGTGGCGGCGTCGCCGGCGTTTTGTTGTAGACGACGAGGCCCCAATAGTATTCCAGTGAACGAGCGCGAGTCGCGAGCTGCCGTCCGCCGCCTCACTGACAGCCTGACACTTTTATAATCACTCCGGACCGACGATTTAATTCGTAAGAACTTTTAGACGTCTTGTTATTTTAATGATCTGATGTCGGCCCGCGGCCTCTGCGTTGTATTAGTACAGCGACGCAGTGATCGTGCTCATCGTGATAAACTTTTCGAACTGAGACCGCGAACGAACCGAATAAATAAACAAAAACAGACGTCTCTTTCCTGGAACCGCTCGGTGTGTGATTCATGTGTACGAGGCACATATTAAAATATTGTGTGATCGTTACACATACCGAACTAGTTCCCTTCATTTATTTCAGTCTGCTTTGTATGTATAGTGGCGTGTATCAATGTGCTTCGCTACGACACACGTACGCGGCATATACGGGCGTAACATTACAGTCGGAGACTGAAAGCATGGAAGTGGGAGCCGTCACGAGTGACGAGTGTGCAAGTAGTGGCAGCAGTCCCGCCGTCCCGCCTTGCACGCCTTGCTGGTGTCAATCCTCAGCAGCATCCAGTACCATCCAATGTACAGCCACAGCATGTCGTGTCAGTCGCTGCGGGCACGGCTCCGGCACGGCTCCTGCACGACGTTACAAAAAGCGCTCAGTACTATCTATTGTCATCACTAAGACTCCATTGTTCGTCCGTCCATCTGTCTGTCACGAGACTGTATCTCGTGAACTGTATTAACTAGACAGTTGAAAACGATGAACATAGCCGTTAGTTATAATAACAAATACGAAAACAAAGAAAAAAAACATTTAAGGGGAGCTCCCATACAAAAAAAAAGGTTTCAATGTCATTTATTTGGGAATAAGAGGGAAACAGTTGGAACTTTTTAGAGACTTCTTGCGGGATAGACAGCAATGTGTAAAAATAGGCAACGTCAATAGTTCCGAATTGCTGCTGCCGCTATATGGAATTATACATCGAATTATACATGCGTCGTTGGTATACATAAGTGACCTCTGTGACCTCAACCTACAGTGTGGCACTATTGTATCATAATAATATGCAGATGATACTGCTCTACTGTTTTCAGCAGGTTCTCTTACAGAAGTTCAAAGCTGTGCACAGCAAGGGTTTAATGTAGTAAATAATTGGCTTCACATAAATGTATTAACATTAAATACTGATAAGTCAAAATGTATAAAATTCAATACGCGTAAACGCGTGCGCATGATAGTGAAATTCATTAGATGTTAGAGACTTAATAAACTAGCGACCCGACGCGGGTGCAATATGCACGTATTATACATATAAACGTTCCTTAAGAATCACTCTATCTATTAAAAAAACCGCATTAAAAGCGCATCAAAATCCGTTGCGTAGTTTTAAAGATCTAAGCATACATAGGGACGGACAGACGGTGGATAGCGACTTTGTTTTATAGTATGTAGTGATATCTCATTATTTTATTATCAAGATGTTACGTTACTCAAGCAATGTTTGTACGTGAACATGTATTCGTGGTGACGAGTTCAAAACATGTTGTGTTGTTATCTGGCAGAGAGTGAGAGTTATAGCATTATTAGCATTCGGGCGTGTGTCGGTAAGTGGCGGCATCAGTCACCGCGCGCGCGCTCGGAGCCCGCCCCCTGGCCCCGAGCCCCGGGGCCGAGACACAGCCAGACACAGCCAGAAACCGCTGACAGTGAACTCTTCGTTTCATTCTTCTTTTACTACAAGTTATCAATTTTTTATAGTGGAGTAATCCAAAGGGATTAGTAATTATTTCAATTTACCTACTACATTTACCATATCATATAATAGGCGCGGGTACTGTAAGGTCCAGTTAGATCCTTACACTGTAGTTTTGTATCTGTAGAAGGTGTAGTAGCCCTCAGGAAAGATCACAAGTTATAGTTGCTAC